CCTTGAAAGTCACTTTCTCTGCTGGTTCCTTTTCTAAACAGCACAGGGAAACAGGCTTGTCTCTCCCTTCTCCTGATGGGAGACAGATTGTGTTTCGGTTGCAAGAGAGGTCATTGGCATAATGGCAGATATCCTGATGCCTTGCTTGAGCTGATCGATAGGATATCTGTAACCAGACACATTTTGGAGCTAATCAACTCCTTGCTTGCCCTTTTAAGGATTTATTTCTTTACTCTCACTCCCTTGCAAATTAGAACTGGGGCTGGGGAAGGGAGAAAGCAGCTCCACATAAGCCTTGTCTAGGCTTGCGGTTTATTTGCTTGGGATGCTTTTTGAGTCAAAATGCATAACTGCTCCAGTGTCCTAAAACGTTATTTTCTATTGCATTTGTAAGCAAAATACAGACTGGTTACCCAGACTGATTGCCTGTCATAGTGCCTTCAGTTTGATGACAGGTTATTCAAACAGGCCTGCATTTCAGGATACAAGCTATTATGATGACATTAACACCCTAAAAATATGTAGAAATAGATTTTGCCTTGTCTCACTACAGAAAAGAGTGGGAGATAGTGTAGATTCCAGCCTTTGACTTCTTACTCTGCCTATCTTCAGCAATGGGACAACCAGTCAAAGTAAGATAAAAACCATCATGATCTCAACCTCTTAACTGGAATCAGATCTCTGTGTGAGTTTGAGCACAGATAACTTCCTTCCCCTCCTTATTCCTCAGTTTCCATCCCATTTGTGAGTACTAAAGAGAAGCTAGAGAAGCACCAGAACACTTATTAAATCAAAGCAGGCATTTATAGCCAAGACAAAGGTACTCCCCACTTTATAGAGTAGTCCTTTTTTATCATCAGGTTGTCCTGTGGTTCTGACAAATGAAATACTGTATGTTATTTATCCAGTTTATGGGCTGTCAGATAAACCTTCTGAAATCTCCTTTCTTTTCCTAGCTCTAGTCATTCACTCTTTCAAGTGACATGTCTTCTTTAGTGATGCTGTAAACAAGTGGTTAAAGGCCTATTATATGAAGTTACAGCCACCCCACCTTTGAGGAGGAAAAATGCTGTGCCATGAGTAAAGCACTTAGCTCTTCTGCCCACTACTTGAAAGCGTCTGGCTGGTGGAAAGGAGTGGCTGAGTAACAACAGGTGAATGAGCCACCATGGCTGTGGAGCAGATGAGCTATGGCAGCACACAGATGTTTTTAGAACAGTGCAGATGCCGCAGAAGAGACACGAGTCGGATTTTGTCACCACAGTGGCTGCACACATGCTCCGTCACTCTCACATTCATCAGGAGTGACTTGTTCAGCAGCAACAACACTCACGAACTCCCCATCTTCTAGGAAATGTTCACTCTCACCTCTCTGCTGCACAATTCCCAGCTCTGCCCCTTCTTACATTTCAGGCATGGGGTTGGAGGAGACATTTCTGATGCTTAGAAGCGAGTAACCCACATGAAATACAATTCAGAATCCCACTGAAGTTAATGGGACCCTTTGCAGATAGTGCCTTTTGCTCCTGGAGTCCCCTTTCATCGGCTCTCAACAAACTGCTGCACCCCGCTGATCGATGCGGCTTGAGTTGCCATCTGTCCTTAATCCAGAAATAATGAGTCTGCTGCAACTGCTTTATGAGGGATTTTGCTTTTCAAGGCACTGACTCCTGTGAAGGTCACATTACCCAACCCATTCCCACTTAGCAAAATTTTGCTCGGCTACAGCCTTGCAGAACTGCACACCTTTCTCACTTTACTCTTTATTCCCTTTAACTGGAGTAGCTGTGGTTCACATCTCGAGCTCCAAAGGTTCCCATCGTAACCAGCAGCTATTGCCTCAATCACATAGCAAGGCTTAGCTTACATCTTTCATTTTTTGAGAACACTCCTAGCTCCTAGCGTGAGTTTTGTGAAGGTGGTAGTTGCACCTGAGGCTGCTGCTCATGGGACTGTTTTGAGTGCCATGGAGACTGTCATTCAGGGAGGCCTTTAATCCAGTTTCTAAAGGGCTTTTTGATTCTCCTCAGTTGGCTCTTATCATGATCACGTACTAAAACAAATTACTTTTCATGCTAGGCTGACCCAGTGCATTCTAATTCTCCACAGTGAAATGCAGAAAATTTCAAGATGGTCAGAATCAACTGGCAAGCTCATATTTAGCATTTCTTGTTCTGAATGTTAAGCAGAGACACCAAAAGAATAGGTCTTTCCTACTGCAAATTGAGAGAGCTCCACTTACATGTCTCGTCCCAACACCCTTGATCTTTGGGAAGATTTGCATCCCGATCCAGAGTTTATCTTTGCAGCTGACAGCTGCGATGTGTCTCAGATGCCAGTCAGTCAATCATGCCTTTTAATTTAACAGCAATGCCTTAAATTAGATGACAGTGACAACAGCAAAAACGAAGGAAACAACATAAAACAATCAATAGAGCACAGCAAAAGGGTCTTTGCTGACACACTACATCCATCTCCAATTTTGTTGGTTTTTTTTATTTAGCCTCCCACTGACCCCAGCTGCAGACACTTCTTGCTGGCAGCTCTCTCAAACTCAGCAGGCCAGGACATCCTGTGTCCGAAAAACATGCCGGGACTATGTAAAACAACCACAGTTCTTTGTGCTAGCACTGGGCATATTTGTAGATATCACAGTATCTGAGGGCCTAAGAGTCATCAGGTGTTCACACATGAGTGAAAAAAAAAGTTATTTCTTATGCAGATAGGGGGAAGGATGCTAAGAGGAGATTAAAAGTGATATTGTCCTATATCATCTGAAAGTTAAATTTGTTATACAATGGGAAAGTGAGAGAGCTGCTCCACAGGGTTTTATCATTCTCCTCTGTTACTATGCTGGGAAAGAGCAAGTCCAGAAGGGACTATTTTGAAGACAGCCTTCTATTACACGAAACAGAGATCGTTCCCTGGAGAGTCATGTATTTAGTTTGCTACTTCTGTGAAAGAAAGGAAAAAAAATCTTTCAGAAGATATCCCCTCCACATGCCCTGTCTGATGAAAGCCTGTGGCAGAACAAGTGAGTTGTCTCAGTCGTTCATTCTCTGCCCTTTCAATAATAAATCCCATGTAACACTTTGCTGTTCTGCAGATTGTGCATATTGATATCAAAACTAACCCTCCAAGTTCCCTAAAAAGTGAAATTATTTGTTCCAGTTCTCTACAACCTCCCTTTTTCAGATGCCAGAGCGTTTGATGGTCAATATATGAACATGACACCCCCATTACTGATTCAGTAGGAAATAAGACAAAAAGGTTGCGGGTAAGTACCTTCTTCTGCCTACTGTCCATACTGTCCATAGGCCGTCTGGCAAATGACAGATTTAATTAAACACAAAGACCTAGAGATGATCAATGGAACATTACAGGCAGGGGCATCTTGGTAACCTACTGAGTGAAAATAGACCACACATGAGGAGCATGGATGTGTCCCTAGTGTGAAACCCATTATTGTGAGTCATCATGAAAGATGCTCTTGGAAATGCCATGCAAACCAGAAGGGTCTGTTGCCTCAAGGGCTATAGGACTTATTGTCCTACACTGAAAATAGAATTTGGGAGTGAGAGTTTTGGTATTTCACACAAAACTTTTTATGGGGTTCTTAGGGGTGGGGACAAGGGAAGACTGGTCTGTGTACACACTATTAGCAAACTGCAAGCAAGACCAGCCAGCAAGTGCAATAACGGAAATCCAAGACAGTGGCATTGATTGACACAGCCAGGATCATCCTTTCTGTACTGTGTGCTTAGCTTTAACAAACTCTGTATTAACAATAACCATAACCATACGTTAGAACTCTCCTCCATGGAAAGGAGATGAGTGGAGATGGGAAAATAATGAAGATGCAATAAAAGTTCATGAGTAACCGGGGAATGGCTGCTCATTGTCTTTTCCAATACTGGAATTAAGAGGTGTCAAATGAAATGAGCAGGACACAGGTGCAACCCCAATGGACATAATTCACAGACGCAGAGCATTGTGAAGTTATGCAACGCTTGCCACACCTTGTAACAGGTACCAAAGTTTCTAGGGATACAAAATTAGCTAGGGAAATGCATGAAAGA